TGTAGATCCATCAATAAAACGATGCTTGATTCATCTTGAACTAGCTTGGTGTCATTTAGTTTTTCTTGTCTTGCTCTTTCGTTCTTAGTAATATGAATGGCAAAAGATTCCCATCCAGGTTCCCTACTTCATGTTGACAACAAATGATGTCACATTTATCTTTTTAGGCATATAAATGGAAATCAAATAAATATAATTTGCTTGAGCTTTTACGGTAGTAGTGGGATGGCAGTTTTGGTAGCTCATCTAAAAACTGCTTGTCAACATTTATTTTGGGTTGTGCTCCTCTCATTCCTGTTTCTTTTGATACATTGGATTCGCGAATATTGTGTTTAGCTTTCTTAACCCATGAGGTCACCTGAAATTCACCTAAGCATAAACTAAATAGAAATAATTTTTTACATTCATTTGTCTTTTGGATTATCAACTGGTAAAGTAGAAAACATTAAAAAATATTTGAATGATGTTTCATTTTTTGTATACCTTCATTTTACAGATGTGCGTGTAATATTATTAACCACAAAAATTTTCCGTGTTGCCATGTCATTTTCCAAATTTTGTTAAAATATGTCTTTTCTAGTATCTTCTAAAATGTTGGAACAAGCACGTAATTTACTTTTCTTACACTGATTTAAATCACAGCGTGATCCCATTGTTTTCTCAGGTTTCGGAGTAATTTGTTTGTATACTTTTGTTTCAGGACCTTTTTGAAAACCAAGATACACTTTACCGCTTTTTCGTAGTCTTTTGTTTGCTTCTCTTTTCTAAGATTGCCTCTCCGGTTTCCTCTTTCTAATTTTACCCATTTGTATGCCTTCAAAATCACTGGATACACTGCTTAAATGTTCTTCATTGGTAGTATTTTTCTTGATGTTCAAATCTAATTCTTGATTTAATTTGGAAATTTTGTATTGTTCTCTATTCGTAGATTCTTGTGATATTTCTTTACTTATACTGGCTGCGTTGGTGTCGGTTAAAACTTCGAAAACTTCTCTATATTCTACACCTCTTACATTTTCTATATCAATAGCATTTTCATAGATATTCAACTCTAATTTTTCACTTCACTAAGAAATTTTGTATTGTTCTTTTTTCGTAGTTTCTTTTGGTATGCCTTTACTTGTGCTGGCTGCGTTGGTGTCCGTTAAAATTTCAAAAACCTCGTCATGTCCAGACATTTTAATCACTATATCATCAGGATTGTAAACATTAATATTATGGACTATAGCTTAGTTGGCAGGCGGAACAGTTATAACTATAGGCGGGAAAACAGAATCAGAACTTGAATATTAGTATAATAACAATTAAACATAAAAATACGTTTATTGACGTTTCAATTTCCACTTCGGAAATCGTTCTCAAAATACAAACAGTAAATTAAACAAATTTTGTTTTTTGTTACATATTGGAAAATCCTTCTAATAATTTAATTTTATCTGACTCATTTATATTGACAATTCAGACATACATTATGCATTTTAAAGTAGACGACTTTAAAATGATATTGCCAATATTGTTGAGTTGCGCTCCTGGGACGACTTTACTTATAAGATAGTTCATTCGATTACATGAATTCAGCTTTAACTTGGGAATATCCGTCAGAAAAAATCATAGCATGTAATTCGTCTTTAAAAAGACAAACACATGACATGATGACAGTAAAATTCTACTGTTAGTGATTCCATAGTAAATTATGAGGGAAAAACCAGGAAAAAAAACCTCATAATACTATCCCGACATTGTAAGTATTTGTTCGTGAATTTAGTTCGTGATTTTATATGTTACGTTATTTAAAAAACATATATGATGTATCCTCTATATGTTACTGACTTACTAATACTGGTATTTTCTTATTAATAACTTCCTATTTCAATATTGGTAACCAGATCCTACTACATTCTGCCGAGGAGTTTGCGACACAATTGGCCTCATTTAGCATAATTAGAGTTGCTTCTTTGATTTTTCTTTTTTTACCATCCATTTCTTTTAGGACTACATTTGAATTATTCCATTGAACCCTATGTTCATTATCCCATGCGTGTTTTCATATTTGAGACCTATCAAATTACCTATTTTTGATATAAGATTGATGTTCACTTATTCTAACATTTAATGGCCTTGATGATTCACCTAAATAAAACTGATCGCATTTACAAGGTATCTTATAAATGCAATTCTTTGTCCTTTCTTGTTCATTGTTAGGTTTGGTTTTGGACAAAATAGATCTCAACGTGTTTGTTGTTTTGAATGTTTTGAAATGTTGAATTTATTTCCTATCCTTTTAAGTTTTTCTGATAATCCTTTTATGTACGGTATTGTTATTTTCCTCATATTATTCCTTGTGTATGCTGTAGGATCTCAAGATCTCATATAGTGAGTGTTCGCTCGTCGGCACCTACCCCTGTGTGGTAGATTTAAAGGGATTCCTTTAGTTAGCAGAAGAATTTCTCTTAGCTTAGTCGCCTTGATGTAGTCTCTCTCCGATCAATAGGATGGTGGACGGCTTATCCAGGCAGAGTTTTCGGAGTGCAAAGGGCTCAGACGAAGATCGTTACCTCTATAGCCATCCTTAACTTTCCCAACTCACGTGCGATCGATGCTTAACTGATAAAAGTAGAATGGGTCCATTTTAATATTTTCTTCAAGAGATGTAACATATATGGTAGTGAAAAGGTAAGACACTACCTTTTTAGTACCATACGGTTAATAATAACCTTAATAGCTACACTTATGTACCTACATTCTCATACCAGCGTTTATGTACATTCCTCTCTTCTCGAAGAATTCGGAGGATACTGTCTGGTACCATCTTTGGCCGATACGGATAGCAGGATTAAGTCATCAGCGTAACCCAATACTGAGATCTTTCTGCCATCTGAATCAGAAGGCCAAGCCTATATTTATCGAGCTTGCATATCAGCTCGTCGACCACCATATTGAAAAGGTAGGGCGATAGGGGGTCTCCCTGTTTAATGTCTCCACACAATTGATGTTCCCCGCCGATCTACTGCCGGTGGTGATGCTCGCTTCATGTACTATTTGTCCTTACATTCATTAACATAGTTACCTTAACTTGTATGTAAATGAATTTTACTAGTAGTCATTTAGAAGGTTTTTTAAGGTCTTTTAATAAAAGATCTACTATTGAACAACCATAACTTTATTAATATGAGGTTTACGATGATAATAAAAAACAAATCTCTTTATTTTATAAGATTTATTTGACATCTAAATAGTTTTCCCGATAAAATCTAAATTTTTGGAGTTATTTGTTAAAAACCGTTTAAAAGCATGCTTTTTTTAACGTGTAATTTGTGAATTTTGATTTCAGAATAACTCCAAAAATTCACTGCACTAGCAACTGTCACGGATTTTTAAGAACCTTTTCCTGCCAAGATTTGGGGTGGTAAACATTCCAGTGAAAAAGCACGGATTTAAGCACGTAAGATAGGTCTGTAGGTGTCTATTTTCTACCTACTATCAAAAATTTCAAGCAAATCAATGAATATAAAAAATCTGAGCAGAAAACCATCTATCCTGTATAAGTAATTTTTATTTTTTATGATAAATTGATTTTTGTCCCCTTTTTTAAGTGTAGAATACTTTGCTTCGGCACTGCCTTAAATGTTCATGGTTTTAAAATTTTCTTCTACATTGTCTATCCACCTTTGATGACGTCTGCATCTAGTGCTAATTGCTTGAAGTTTTTATCTCTGAATTACTTTGATAGCTCAATAATCTGACATTCTTTCAAAATGGTCAAGCCATTTTAGTCTTTGTGACTTTACAAATCTAATGATATCTGCGCTCTGCATTAATTTATCCAGCTCATAATTTATTTTTATTCTTCAGAAACCATCACTATATTATATTCAATCAGGACTTATTACATGTATAAATATCGTCATATATAAATATATGAGGCTAATCAAACACTTATCACTGCCTAACTACAAACGCAAAGATCATAAGAAAACCTTCATATTTCAGTTCTAGTGTACGATTGTGAGATATGGTTTCTTTCCAACATAAAAATGAAAATAGGTCATTTGTATTCGACAAAAAAGTCCTGAGAAAAAAACTAAGTCCAATAAATGAAATTGAAACCTGGCGTAGTCGATATAATTTTAAACTATACAATAAATAATATAAAGAATTATCTGAAGCCTTAGATGTAGTTACTGGAAAAAAACTAGACGCCTATGTGGTCAGGACATCCAGCCAAAGTAAATGAAAGCTACTCTGTACGATCTATTTTATTGGTAAAACCCGAGGGAACTACACGAGGAGGTAGCCCAAGATTCTGATGAAGGGATGGTGTAGATTAGGATCCAGAAAGATCGTTCTTGTCATCCTCTACCAACCTACACAGAAAAGGGCCGAATAAAGAAATCAGTCTCAATGGAGGCTATAGCACCAATGATGATGATGATGGTGAGAGTGACTAATTCATGTTTATATTTAATATGGTTTTTATAGAAGCTGTTGATTTAAAATAAGCCGTCTTATTAGGAAGTTTAACAGAGTTTTTCCCAATAATTTCCAGTGCCATTCCCAAAGCTGCCCGAAGATGTTTTTGTGTCATTTGATTTGACTTATATGTTCGCATTAGAATGTCCATTACTGTATTCGTTGGAGTGGGTACTGGAAGACTATAACTTGAATTATCTTCAAAATGTTACGAGATTTTAATTTTGTGGTTAAAAATGTTGTTTATGTTTGTTATTGATGAAACCGATTCCACTAATAGACTCATCTTTTTTATCCACATGATAAAAGCATGACCGCATTTTGGTATGTACCAGCTTTCTTCTATTTGAATATAAATTTCCCGATGTATTTTTTCCAATTTCTTTTCTAGTTTTAGAAGTTTGTTTTTTTAATGATAACGTTTTTCCATTGTTGTAGCAATTTTCAGTTGAAGTTCCTCTACTTTAGGGGGAAAACCTGGCTCCTAAACCTCTATGGGTCTGTAGAAACAAATGGTAGAAAACAAATTCTAGATATTACTTTATTTTCATTTTATACAAAAAAAACTAATCCGATGAATACAAAAATAGTGTAATACTTTATATTATAATTATACAATACATTTTTTTATTTTATAACAATATCTGTTTAGATTATAAGAAGTTATCTAGGCATTTCATATTCTTTGGGTTTTATAATGAATATTTCAAATATTATGTGGATATTGTAAATATGACTAGAAAAGTTTCATAGCAGTTTATTAACAATATTTCTTTAGGATTTCGATATATGCATTGAATTTTACAAATTAGATTCAAATTTATAAATCTGTTTTTGCATCTTTTTCATATCGTAAATTTGCTACATTGTAAATAAATAACATAATTAAAAAAACGTTAGGGAGAAGGAGATTAAAATAATATGTCAACATCGATCAATTAGTACTTTAAAGTATTACTGATATTGACAACAAAAATATTCGGGTGCATTAGATTGTGTTAAACAAAAAATAAAGAAATCTTATTCCTTTTTTTATTAGCTTGCTGACAAAGACAGTTATTTTAGTCATATTTGTTGGCCACCATCACTACAAATTTTACTCTGTTTTGGTATATTTGGGTAAGGATTAGAAAATATCTGAAATAATGTAGGGAAAAAGCTATTGGAAAACCAAAAACCACGTTTATGGAAAAGAACAACAGCAAGAAAGAAGCTACTTAAGAGGCTGAGGCCCAACTTAAGGCCGTAATCGCATTAGATAGATGAATTATTTGAGATCGTTTGAGTATCTGTATTTGCGTTTACCTCAAGATATAGATCTTGCCTCCTAGTATTGATTTTACCTTTTTTCATTTTGCGTAGCTCATATTAAATATGATTGCAAGGCAAGGTCATAAAGCACATCAAAACAAGAAAGCTGGAATATTTAGGATACATTACCAAAGGTGCAAAATATGAGATATTAAGGCTCATGTGATTATGGTGCCCTATTCAATTAGTGGATGTTGGCGACAATTCTGGCATAATTCGTTCGATCTTGTGTGGCTCTAAAAAGTGCATGAGTGTCGAGGTTTGTCCAATCCCTTATGTTTTTAAGCCATGAGTATTTCTTTCTTCCGATGCCTCGCTTTCCTTCTATCTTCCCTTCCATAATAAGCTTTAAGAACTGGTACTTAGAATTTTGAAATATATGACCCAGTTAAGCAGTTTTTCTTCTTTTTATTATTATCAGCAATTCTCGTTCTCTGACCATTCGATTTAATACTTCGACATTTGTTGTGTGATCTGTCCAGGGAATTTTAAGTCGTCTTCTAAATACACACATTTCAAAGGCCTTCAATCGGTTCATCACATTGGCCTTTATGGTCCAGGTTTCTAAACTATCTAGCAGTATGGAGTAAATGTAACATTTTACAAAGCGATATCAAAACGTTAAGTTAAGGCTGCTGTTGCTTAGCAAGGTTCTCATATTAGTAAATGCTATTCTTGTTGGCTCAATCCTGCTACGTATCTCTATATCTGGATCTAGATCTTCAGTTATCCAACTACCGAGATATCTGAACTTGGGGACCTTTTGGATGTTCTTGTTGTTTACTCTTTGGATATTTAATTGCATATTTCGTATTCTACTAACATTCATTACCTTCGTCTTGTCTATATTAATCTTCAAGCCCAGTCGTTCTCTTTCAGTGTTTATTCTATCTATTAGTCGTTGTAGCGCTTCTTGGCTATCAGCTATTATGATTGTATTATCAGCATAGCGAAGACTACTAATAGTCTGTCCGTTGATTTTGATTCCATCTTCAGTGTTACTTAAGGCTCTATCGAAAATCGATTCAGAGTAAAGATTAAAAAGGAGGGGTGACAGAACACAACCCTGTCGTACACCTTTTTCGATTGAGAAATATGATGTAGATTCCAGTCCTACTATCACAGATGGCTCATAATGCAAAGTAAAATCAGAGGTAAAAGATCCATAGGAAGACGAAGCATTTCCTGGCTGAGAAACCTAAGATAGTGGTATAGTTGCATCTCAGTAGATCTTTTTAGAGCAGCCGCCAATAAGGTACGGATAGCTGTGATATAGTAGGAATAAGCCACGACTAATGGAAGTGTTCAAACAAATTGATCCTGAAGCAAGAAAAAGAGGTTTCAAAATAAACGAAACAAAAACGAAGTATATGACAGTCAAAAGAATACCTGACAATGAAAATAATATCACAATAGACAACTATACTATTCAACGAGTGGATAGCTTTACATAACGGCACAGAAATCAATCAGAACTCCGTAAGTAGCGAAATTAATGCATGTATTTCCAGCGGGAATCGTACATACTATGCCAATAAGAGACTGATGATATCGAAATTATTAGACAAAAAATCCAAAATGTAACCGGTAGTAACCTATGGATGTGAAACTTGGGTAATGACAAAAAAAGATGAAGCCCAACTCAGGACATTCGAGAGAAAAATACTGAGGAAAGTATATGGCCCGGTACAAGAGGAAGATGACACATGGAGAATTAGGAGAAACGACGAGGTTAATGAGTTAAATGAAGGTTATGACATTGTAAGATTTGTGAAAAGTCAAAGACTGTCATGGCTGGGACATGCGCAGAGACAAAACGATGCAAAAACAACAAAGAAAATGTTACAATGGAAGCCCATAGGAAGGCGAAAAAAAGGAAGGCCCAGAACGAGATTGTTGGATGACGTGGAAGACGACTGGAAACAATGAACATAAGACAATGGAGAAGAAGGGCACAAGAGAGATCTGAATGGAAGGACATAGCCAGGCAGGCAAAGACCCATCCAGGGTTATGATGCCAAAAGAAGAAGAAGAAGAAGAAGCTGTGATGATAGCCAACCTCCGATAGAAGAAGGAACTACAAGAAGAAGAAGAAGAAGTAGCCCATATTGACAATGTATCTGAAATATGCTGTATTGTATTTACCAATAAATTCATTTTTGTTAATGTAAGTGTAAATTTTTTTAAGGAATTTTGCATTGATCGTTTTTTATATTTCGATCGATTCGATCGATATTTCTGTTTTAAGATCATATTTCGTCCCCTTTATGTACTGCTGCACATATTTTGTGTGACACAGCTGTTTCTACATATTAATTATTCCAGCGCTTGCTATAAAGCTCATCTTTCTATTTCTTTTATATGCTTGAACTAGAATATATAACTAGATATTAATGTTGCTATGTCCACATTTAATGCTTAGTGTGAACTATCTCTATACGCCCTGTGTTTTATGCTTTTTCATCTGAAACAAAGACAACAATTCTAATCTTTTTATGTATTTGGGCCAATAAAATTACTTCTACGTTAAATATAAGTATAGTCTTGTTGATATTATTATGGTGTCTGCCAGTTTAATAATGAACATTATTACAAAAACATTATAAACATTTTTCTTGACTAACAAACATAGGACTTCTCTAAATGTTTTAAATTTTCTCTATCTTGTGCAGTTAAAGTTGCCTGTTATCCTCTTTTGATCATTTGTCTATCTGATAGTTATTTCTCCTTGATTCTACTTGTTATTACCCGTTGGTCCCCATTTTACCATTTTCTTTATCATCATCATCATCATTAATCAGCACTGATTTGTAAATTAATAAATATAGGCTTCCTACAGATATTTGTATATATTTTTGTTCCTCACCACTGCTATCCAATTGGTTACAATTACATATAAATCAAAATAAAATCAAATTTAGAGAGCAAAACATTTTAAAGCAGAATCTTATTTTCAATGATCAAAACTTCAAAGCGGTTAAAAATTTAGGGACATCGATGAACCCCAATAAAAACACAACAGAGAAATAGAAAGGCAAATCTTGTGAAAGGCAATTGTAATTATGGCATATTATGATCTATCAAAGTACATAGTTAAGAGACGTCTGTCTCAAAAAGAAAACACGTATAAGACTGCATAAAACACTGATTGTCCTTGTTTTGGACATATATAGATGCATACTTATAACTTTGAACTATAGAATATTCTGAAGTTTAATTTTGGTGGAAAAACTTAACCACTATAATCAAACTAAATCGTCTATGGTGGGCACCACATGCAGCTTGGCTCTCAGAATCAAACATGATAAACAGGATTTTGACAGCGCAGCCAATGGAAAGAAGAAAAGCTAGGGAAGAGCAAAGCTAAGATGGGTAGACGACGTAATACAGAATACTGAGAAGATCGGTGCTGCCAACTGGAAAACCAAGCAATAGAGTGTACAATGGAGCAGTAAGCTTAAGAAGGTCGAGGCCCTTTAAGAGCTGTATCAGCGTGATAATATCAAGTCCAAATCAGGCAATTAGAAATCTATGAGGAATATAAATAACATTTTCATTTGGTGAATATTGTGTAGTAATAGGTCAGAAACCAACGTTACGATCTCCTATTATTGCTACTAAATTATATTTGACAAAAATTTCTGCAGCTTATTATTAAATATATAATAATAGCCAAGAACAATTCACACGATACTTTTCTAGGTCGATATTTATCAAGGGTTTTTTAGCAATACTTTCGATTTAATTTAATAATATTTGTAAACACACAAGATAATACTACTATTTCTTCTTATTATAATAGTATTGTCTCATTTGTTGGTTAATTATAAAAAAAATGAAAATTCTATTCATTAAACGTCTATTGATTCTAAAACTATTTTTTAATTATTATTATTTGGCTGGAATTTTAGTTTTTTGACGATTTGTTATTAAACATAGTTTGACATTATCTTTGTCATAAACTATAGTCTATTTAGTTTGTTTTTTTTTTTCAATATTCGTACAAAACTCTTTCCTGCATCTTTTAAATTTTAATATTTTAAATAAGCGTATCCAATGACCCAGATAAAAAGATAATTACAATAACCAATAACATTTCCTATAATTATTAAAACTTTGCAGCAATGTATATCGATTGGAGTTAGTCAATAGTTAATTGCTTAAAGCTTCCATCTACTCCAAAGAGATCGTCGTAATTGGTAGGTTTACCTGGTCGTTCGATTCGTCGGCTTTGATGTTTTCTTGTTCCTTGAACCAAGGTGTGTATTCCTTTAGTTTTTCCATCCATTGATCTAAAAATAAAATTATATAAATAATGAATTAGATGAATATGTTAGTCCATTTCAAACAAGTTTGTACAAATTAAAAATAGACTTACTTACAATAACTTGGACCACCAGTTTGAACTACTATAATTTTCTCGTCATTTTCACGCCCTTTTAACAGCCAGCCTTGTACCACTATCATTTTAATTTAACTTATCCAGAAGACGTGAAGATGGCCAGAAAAATGTAGTGGTCAAAAACACTAGTCTTTAGGTTATAAAATATATTCTAAGTAAGTCTATTGTTTATTTCTATAAACCTGCTTAAAAAATTAGATATTTAAATCTACTTATTTATTTAATGCGAATGTAATCGCTACAAATAGTTAAGTTTATAAATGTGGTAAACTTTGTGAATATAGTAAATAATTAATTATATAATGAATTCGACCGTTACTTGATGGAAGCAAACATTAGTAGGGTATACAAACGTACATGTGGCGACTGTCCAAATATCTTACATCTGTCAAAAGCACAGAAACTTTAAGAAACGTATGGCAGAGCACAACAGGGCTTTCAATAATAGAAAAAGAGATTCTACTTACGTAATTCACTTCCTAGATCATAATCATTCTTTGAATAATCAAATTAACATTCTTCAAATTCAAATAAACAAATTAAAAATACAGGTATAATTCTGAATGACCAACTAGAGATAAACAATACTCCCCTTCTCAACTTATTTAGTTAAAGATTATAAAGTGTTAAACGCAACAAAAATAGCTCACTTAAGAAAGGCACTTTTTTGCTTGTAATCTTAGAAAATTCGGATTTATTACTTTTTGGGCATAACTATTTTTGGATGAAGTCAATAATATACTTCTTCACAGTTTTGATTTTAAGTTAATGTTATACGTTATGGTACTCTTTTACATTTTTAAAGGGAAGAAGGAAAATCTGCAGACAGATACCTGTGACTTACACAAGTAATGTTGGGTTCCTAATGAAGGAAGTTGTGCTAGAACGAGTTTCCTGAGAGAGTTAGACCTTTGACACTTTGTCCCGTTACCACTTCGGGACAGTCGGCATCCAACTAAAAACCTCATCTCTGACACTCCCAATATCAGGATGAAAGGGCTGGTTAAGGCAAAACATCTCTCCTGATGCTCTGCTATCACCCGATTCCTGTTCTTTCTCCTACATATTTATCGGGAAAACCACACCCACATGAACCACCCAAGACTTTCAACCCCCTGCCTTAGCGAGGCTACTATCACTCTCGCGTCGTTTACCTCGAATTCGCTCCTATTTCTGCCTGCGATAGTTCGAACTCCACATCGTTTTAAAATTCTGTTGTGAGTTCCTCTTGTCTCGTCCTTGTGACGATAGCAACTGCTAGATAAATTTGTGGATCCGTGTCCACCACTACTCATCCCTCATAATTGTATCTCTTTCTTTCATCTACCAAACGCTCACACTTTAACATCGTGTGTATCACAGTATCCGAGCGACCATAAAGGAGAAATCAACCATGGCCTGTGAGCATTTGCAGCAGATAATAATCCAGCTACCTATACACACAGTACACCCAGCTTCGAAGGTTCAGGATTAGTGACTTAGTCTACTCCGCCACATCAGATGTTGCCGTTTACTCTCGTTGCCACTGACCGATTGAAACTAATTCCTCGGCCAGTTCTATATTAGTCATCTTTTGCTCTCCAATCTTCAGCCTCCTACGACTATTATTCCTGATCCTTTCACCTACCAGCACATGTAAAGGAACACAGCCAGTGATTACTCACAGAGCGGCAGCAGACACATTCCTGTAGGTGCATGCTATCCGCTGCAGTATACGTTATGGTACTAGGCAGATAAAAAAGGGCGTAAGTCATTAACATTAAGATTTAAAACTCGAATATTTATAACAAAGCGTTACTAAATCTTCTTAAACTTGGTTTTTAAAGAATTTTTGAAAACCAATGTTGTATGTTCTATTAAAAGTCCCTATTCTTAAGTTATGATACTCAGTGTTTATTGACAATGTGTTTCACCAGGTTAATATGAGATCAAGATATTTACTGTAATTTATATAATTACGCTAATATTTTAAGCCAGAACTATGCAATGTGGTACATGGACTAAATAGAGCACCCTAGAGAAAAATAAATGGTAAGAAAAATAAAAAAAAAGTTAAAAAAAGATTTAAATAAATTCTTACAAATACTATGGAGTTCTGACAAGTTTTAAATATTTCTAGAGACCGTAAACTGTAGTCGATAACTTGTCAAATTTTTGTAAGTTAAAAAGATAAAGAATCGACAAAAATTGGACTCAAGATGAATTACAGTAAAACAAAAACCATGACTAATCAACCAGAAGAACTAATAATTACAGTGGCACAAACAAGAATAGAAGTAGTAAAAGAGTATATATATATATATATATATATATATATATATATATATATATATATATATATATATATATATCCAGGCCAAATCACTAAATTAAATAAAGAAAATCAGACCGAAGAAATAAAGAGAAGAATAAGATTGGCCTGGGCATCATTAGGAAAACTGTCTTATATTCTAAAGAATTCAAAATACCCCCAATACCTAAAAACGAGAGTCTTCAATCAATGTATACTCCCTGTCCTCACATATGGCTCTCAGACATGGACGTTTACAAAGGAAAATATGGAAAAAATAGCAAAGACAGAAAGATCCATGGAAAGACAAATGCTCAACATTAAACTATCAGACAGAAAAAGAAACGAATGGATCCGCAAGAAAACAAAAGTGGCAGATGTCTCAACCCAAGTAGGAAAGCTTAAATGGAAGTTCGCCGGACACACCCTAAGGCAGAAAGATGAAAGTTGAACTAAGACAATTATACATTGGAGACCATGGAATCACAAACGGAAAAGGGGAACTGAAGAAACACGCCGGGTCAAAATGGATGCAAATTGCCCAAGCTAGAGAGGCATGGAAGAAGCATGAGAAGGCCTTTATCCAAGGATGGATGTTTAGGGCTGTACAGATAGATAGAAAAAGTGAAATAAGTTTTGTGAGTTGTAGACAACTTTATTCATCCACAAAAGAACTTTTCTGGAAAAATGCTAGCAGTATCTAAGTATTTTTTGTCCTCTCGTTGTGGCTGTGTTACCAAAATACCCTATTAGTGCCCAGCGTAACCGTATGGTAACAAAGATCGATCACTTGCAGTAAATTGCCCAAGTTCTTTGTGTAAATTTTATTAATTTATGTTGACTGCAGTGTATTTTGTTTCATTCACGTTGTTCTAACTGGAAAAGTGTCTGTGGACTTGTTAATAGCAACTGATTAAAGTAAAATACTCGTATTAGGATGAAAGTCTGAACAAAACAGTCAATGTAACAGGATGTTTGTGTCTAAATATGACAGTTGCCAACAATATGTATAATCTAATATAGTAAAATTTGATTGATTCTAACAGTAGCATCTATCAATATGTTGGAATTTGGAGTATTTATCCTGAAAATTTGATGGCAAAAAATTTAAATTAGGCAGTATTATGGGTGGATTGAAGATTGATAAAAGTTATGATTGTAGGTAGGCAACCAATTATACAGATATCTGATTTAATGGTGGAGAGCTAAATTTTTTTATAAAAGATCTTATGTTTTATTAATATTTGATACCTGAAATATGGAAAACATATATATTTGTTATACAAAGTGAACAGAATAATTGGTGTAATGTACTTCTGGTATATTACTTGACTTAGCTTATATACTCGTAATAGGATGAAAGTCTGAACAAAACAGTCAATGTAACAGGATGTTTGTGTCTAAATATGACAGTTGCCAACAATATGTATAATCTAATATAGTAAAATTTGATTAATTCTAACAGTAGCATCTATCAATATGTTGGAATTTGAAGTATTTATCCTGAAAATTTGATGGAAAAAAATTTAAATTAGGCAGTATTATGGGTGGATTGAAGATTGATAAAAGTTATGATTGTAGGTAGGCAACCAATTATACAGATATCTGATTTAATGGTGGAGAGCTAAATTTTTTTATAAAAGATCTTATGTTTTATTAATATTTGATACCTGAAATATGGAAAACATATTATTTGTTATACAAAGTGAACAGAATAATTGGTGTAATGTACCTACTTCTGGTATATTACTTGACTTAGCTTATAATTTAACTATAAGAAAAACAATATTTGATACCTGACAAATATAAGGTGTCTAAGTTATATAAGTTTATGAACGTTAGATGGATGGAGAGAGTCGATTTAATAATAAAGTATGTTATTAAAATGAAACTGAGATCTCCAGAGGTCCGAAACCGTAACCTAAGACAAGTGTGGGTAAGAGAAAATAAAGTATTCTTAAAAAAATTAGAGAAGGGATTATTTTGGTTAGAGCAGTTATGTTGAAAATGGTGTGGACGTTACTTGTAGTATTACAAATAATAAATATAAATTCTGATGTGTGGCTTGGCTTTAGATGGACCATGGAATTATCTAGGTCTATGAAAAGAGGATATATAAATAAAGGCTTAATATTATTGTGTGGTTATGAATAGTTTGTAAAGGATGAATATATCTATCTGATCTGAATCTGTGAAGAACATTGGGCATAAGGGTCAGAGGTAAAATTTAAAATACTGAAAAATAGTGAGGAGTGATGGATAAGTTAAATACATTTGTAAAGATTGGCTTGATGGGGACTAAGAAAGATAAATAAATGGCAAAAGCAGAATGATTAGTGGGAGATAGATGTAAATGGTTGGGGAAATCTGGGGTAAATCTTCGTAGAGAAGTAGCTCAATATTACTTAAAATGTTACAAAACAACAATCCATACCATAATCGTTTCACAGGTTCAGTTTGAGCAACTTGCAAGAATTATTGAAATAGCGGCTTCTAGTTTTTGTCAAAAAATGTTTTTATGGCCTTTGGAAGACTTTAGGTCCATCTGATATAATTTATTGTAATAAGTTTTATAACAGGGGAAGACTTGGAAAACTTGTACGAAAGCGCATATTGCATTAGATTGAATATAAATGTTGGTAACTAATCTTAACAAGCACAGATTGAATTTGATAAATGTTAAATATTGTATTTATATGGGATTAAATGTTTCTTGATGGTTTTAAAAATAACATGTTACATTTGTTTTGACATTTTGAATTCTAATTCTCCATTTCCTAGATTTTCAATGCAACGTAATTTTAACAATTGTGATTTAATCCTTATAAATACAATTATTAATTTAAATAATTATGCGACAAGAAAACAATATCAGAACCTCTTTGATAAATGTTACATAAATACTGTTTACCGTAAACAATACCGTTTTGTAGGCAATATACTAAAACAATTATATAAAACGCTCTTATCTTCTATATTCGTAATTTTTTCCAAAAAAACATCAAAATTGTCCACAAAATCGTCTAACGATGATAAAATTAATAAAATAGCAGAAGAGAGAAAATCACAATGGATTTAAAAAAACCTAATATCCCTGATCTATTTATATATTAACAAATTTATTACCATGGAATACTTGTAGTGGACCAGCAGTTCCATCAAACTCTTCGGGAAGTACATCTTTTGGTATAAATTTATGTAGAGATTCGAAGTTGGAATGAACGTGAATTCGTTCTCTAATCTTTTCTTTTAAGAAAGGTTTTACCCAAGTTATAATTTTATCTACTAATGGTGAAACATTAACCACATGGACTTCCTTTAGCTTAACTGGGTACGCTTCCTGAAAACAATACAAAATAAACAATCATTATCAGTCTAACAATAATACAATTATTAACATTAGAGTGTCAGACAAAAAAAATAATATTTGGAAAGAAAAAGTCACAAATGTTAAAGATACTACTATTTAGATAGCAAAAAACAAAAGTGAAAATTGGCCAATAGACAAAAAAACTGGATAGATGGAAGATTATTACAAATTGGAGACCCTGGACACCTAAACAAAAAAGGGGAAGATAACAGATGACGTGGGGGGATGACCTAAAATACCATGTTTGTTTGAGGTGGATACACAGATAAAAAAAGATGGAAAATGAAGGGTCTATGTTCAATATCAGATGTCTCAAAGCTTATAGATAGATAGATGGTTTCTGTATTTAAAGGATATAGAGGAAATTTTAACGAATTACTTTTATTAAAACTACTTACTTGAACAATAACCAAAAATTTACGTATCATTGCGGGATTGATTCTGGAAAAGTGAGCGGCTGTGGCTACTGTTGCATCTAATATGTAAACATCTCCAGCTACGCCCACTTCTTCGGCAGCTAGCCTTACGTCACCGATCATAAGAACAACTTTCATAATATCAGCTATATCATAAGTATCAACGTCTACCTTTTTGGATCTAAGAACTACTACTCGGCGACCGTTTGGAGTTAAGCCTGGTAGAGGAGGAATGTGTCTAAAACATAGAAAAAAGATTTATTAAAATCGTTAGTTTCAGTATTTATACTAAATAATAATGTTAATCAGAACTAACAAAACCAAACCAAGAATCCAACCTGAGAGCAAAAGCTATATAAATAAAACTAAATAAAAACTAAAATAACAACTAATCAGTGATGGATATAGTTGGTAGCAAGTTTAGCCTTTTCCTTCTAATGAGTCGCTGTACTTTACTCCATGGTGGCTTCTTTATTTATACCTTTCTATCTCAAGTCCTCCGCCGCCCAATCCTTCCACCTTGCCTTTGTTTTGCATCTACTTCTCTTTCACTCAACTTCCTACAGCTTTATCCTTCATCCCACATAGTTTTTATTTCCACATCTGCCGTGACCAAACTATTGCAGTCTTTCTTTTTAAACCTTTTTCAGACTATAGGCAATCCGGCTCTTTCCATAATCGCGTAGATCCTAATCTTGCCTCTTCTTGTCTTGCCCAACATTCACCATAACATTTTCAATATATTTACCGCTATCTTCTTTGTCTATATATAGTGACGGATATACTTTGTAGCAATACTTCGATATAAATCGCAGAAGAGCATATATTTATTTACAATATTTATTTAAGAGCATATATTTTATGTAGTTACCTTCTACTAAATTATAATAAAACTTTAATTCTTAATTTTCTTTAAGTTAACAAGCAATAAAAAAATAAATTTTTGCCATTTCACAAATAACAAGCATACGGTATTTAAAATTTTTAATTTTATTGCAAGCGTTAATGTCAACATGTACTAGTCCACCGTGTCCTTTGGAAAGTTTGTCGATTTTTTTTTTAATTGTAGATTGTCAAAATAGGTTTAAATTTTCTATTTATTTGGAGCTGCTAGAGAAGGAGGTAAGGAACTAATTGCAATTGTAACTAAGCTTGTGGACAGTTATTTATATCAGGGCAAAGTTCCTTAGAGCTGGGACAATTCTAAAGTAATCTTATTGTGTGGATGATGTGATTACAAGCTAGTTACCAGCTGTTCTCCGTGTGAAGAGGTTTACTCTCCGGCTCTGGAACTCACTTCAGCCATGTATGTTACCTGAAGTCATATTTAATTTAATACTGAACATCACAGTTTCTTTACAACATGATGTATAATCTTTTACAACTATATGTAATTTAAAGGGTTTTTACCCAGGTATTTTGGTGGCTCAGGCATTTTAACCTAGTAAGTATAACCATTTTTGCGTTTTAACCATAGTCAAAATTTCATAACCACGTTTGTTTTAACTAAATGGTTTATGCTTATTTTAGTCAATTTTAAAATTTAAACCTAATGATGGACTGTTTTAGTCCGAAAACGTTTATTTTTTTGATGTAGCCCTTTTAAGGGTTTTTAAATAAATATACCCATTTACGAAGACTAACCTCTTTTTTGTGATACGTGGTATACAGCCAGCTACAGGAATTGTTTTCCTTGTGGATTTAAAAAAAATAGGCTTTTTTCTATGTAGTTTAGAAAATTAACGATAGTTCCGTATTTACGTTTGGCAAAACGAGTCCCGTATTTTAGGGTTAAGTTAAATGGCAACCACAATTATTTTTTGTTAGTTTTATGGTAACTAAATATCCCAAGACTTTTCTGCCATGTGTGCAAAGTATAGGATATTAACGGTTTAAAACAACATTGATTGGTGTAGCCACGTATTTAATATGGCTGTTAAAGAAAAATGGTCGTTTATAATTTATTATTAAAGATTTGACGAGTAAACTATTAAAATCTCAAGAGGTACAATTACTAGTTAAATGTATATAAAAATAAATACATAGCCGTGGGAGAGGGCGTTCAAATCTAAGTAATAATTACCGCCCAAAATGTTAACACCAATCTGTATAGTTACTTTGTCTCTGTCAGATTTTTAATATACACGTGTAAATGTCTATCGGTACACGTCAACTTGTTCTACACCAGAATAAAAAAATAGGTTTATGAAAAACCTGTCGATTTAAATTTTTTTGTATTTGTCATGACTTGATGTTAGTTTTTAACCCTACCATCAATGTATATATTAGTATTTCTTTTTTCACATCATAACCATTTTTAAAGGACGGAAATTGGAATAGAAACGTGGACATTAAAGGCGGAAACTCTATCAAAACTTCAGGCGTTTGAATTATGGTTATACAGAAGAATCCTGAAGATACCATGGACAGACAAAGTCACGAATGAAGAAGTACTGCGGAGGATGAACACAACCGCGGATTTGGTCAACATTGTGAAGAGTCGTAAGCTGGAGTACAGAATGATCGCCAACGTTCGGAACGGACAGGCACCCTAAGAAGAAGAAAGGACGGCAAAACTAAAGTTTTACCTCATTTAGTTCCAAAAGATAAGAAAGAAAAGAAAGCATATAATAAGTAGGAACGAAATATCTAAGAAAACTGAGCGAGGTCGAGCTGCAGGCTATCAGCAGAAACGCAAGTTGCGGACAATGAATGGCCTTTAAATTGAAAGGTTAGCTATGAATATATAAAATAAACAATCCCAGACCAGACTAGGAAAACATAACTTCAAAACTGCTACAAAATCGAAAAATAACTAATACCTCAATGAATAATCCTCTACTTGTTAGTCAATATCTACGGATGAAAAAACTCTAAAAACTGAAGGTAAAAAATCTACTCTGTATTCCATACACTCAGGCATAACTCAGCATATTGTTTTCTAAAAAAAAACTTTTAAATCACTAGCGAAACTACGAAACTCGGTTTCTGGTGCATCATTCCTGATAGCGTAAAGGGTGCGATCATTACAGAGACCATGGCATCGTATCCTCGCCTAGAGCATAGCACTACAGTGAATGCTTGCATTTAAAATAATGCATTTATTTTACTTGGCGATAATAATAATCATACCATCTTATTGTCCAATCGAGGATCTCGGCGCCTCGTTATAAACGCAAGCTTAGGCTTACTAATATCTGCTTGCCCAATTCTTTATTTTCCTATATGAGATGGTATCCACAGGAAGTTAATTCTTCTGGAGTTTTCTTGAGCTTTTTTAGCTTAGAGTATTAGACAACAAGTAATGTTTTTAATATTTATGTGTTTTAAACAATCTGTATAGTTCCGCATTCTAAATGGTGGAATGTGAAAGTTTAAATTTAAAATAGTCATATGTAGTTACGACTGCTGATTCAATCCCAGGTTCGTATTGCTTACAGTTTACAGTTTACAATTTACTAATTAATATTTTAAAAATGAAAAACATCGATAGCCGCGACATCAGAGTAATCTCGAACCTCTACTGGAACCAGAAAGTCAAAATAAGAATTGAAAATCAAATGTCGGAAGAAATAGAAATTCTTCGGGGTGTGAGACAGGGCTGTGTATTGTCACCACTGCTGTTTAATATATATAGCGAAGCCATTTTCCAAGAAGCTTTAGGAGAGTGTAACGATGGAATGATAATAAATGGTGAAATTATTAATAATATAAGATATGCCGATGATACTGTCATATTCACTTCAACTCTGCAAAGTCTAACAAACATACTGGAACGGCTGAATGAAAAGTGTACCATATATGGTATTAAAATGAACTTAAAGAAAACAAAATTCATGGTCATTACAAAACATCCAAAAGACAACGAGACACTCCATATTAATAATATCCAGATAGAAAGGGTAGATAAATACAAATATCTAGGAACATTGGTTAGTCAAAACGCAGAACAAACGCAAGAGATTAAAAGCCGTATAGAAATAGCAAGGGCAAAATTTGTAAAAATGAAACATCTATTGTGTAGTAGAGACCTAAGAATGGATCTAAGGATAAGGTTATTGCGCTGCTACATTTTTACAACTTTGCTCTACGGATCTGAGGCATGGACATTGAAACAACTGGAGATTAAGAAATTGGAAGCTTTTGAGCGTTGGTGTTATCGAAGGATGCTACGAATAGCATGGGTAGACAAAATTACCAATATTGAAGTCCTTGATAGGGTTAATAAGAGGGAAGAAATTGTACAGACAATTAAGAGGCGGAAACTTGAATATTTCGGTCATATATTAAGAGGTCCTCGTTATGGGCTACTACGTTTGATTATAGAGGGCAAAATAAAAGGTAAAAGAGATGTAGGAAGAAGACGAACCTCCTGGCTACGAAATCTAAGGGAATGGTTTAGTCTGAGCTCTAGCCAACTATTTAGAGCTGCTGTAAGTAAAATAAGAATTGCCATGTTGATATCCAACCTTCGTTAGAAGATGGAACCTTAAGAAGAAGACAGTTTACAGATCCATTATTCGCTCCAAAATAGAATATAGTAGTTTTGTCTAAATGTCTGCCTCCAAGTCACATTTGAAAGCTCTTGATTCCGTACACAATACGGGTCTTAGGATCTGTATAGGTGCCTTTAGATCTAGCCCAGCTCAAAGTATGTACTGTGAAGCTAACGAACCACCACTCTGGTTAAGGAGACAACATCTTTTTTTGTCATATGCAGCTAGCTTATCAGCCAATCCACAAAATCCATTCTATCAGTACTTAACAATCTCAACATTCTCAGACCACTAGAGCTGCACAACCCCTTTCTTGTATACTAAATTCTATTCTCGACGATTTTGATCTTTCTACAACTGCACCCTTTTATATCTCTACACATCCTCCGTGGCATAAGCAACTTCCGAATGTCAACAACTCCCTTTACTCTTTCAATAAACATGATACTCCTAAAGCTATAATTAAATAATTGTTCCTAGAAATACTTAATCGAAATCAGTTTCATAAAGTTCTTTATACAGATGCCTCTAAAAATGATGTAGGGGTGAATAGTGCTGTTGTTTCCTCATTCAGCACCAGAAAACTAATAAAACTTCCTGCCGTTTATAGTGTATATACTGCAGAACTATACGGTATCGTCGAGGCTTTTCGTTTGTTGGAAACAACTGAGCGCAATATAGCGATTTGCACAGACTCTTGTTATCAGATCATCCTCTGGTAAATTTAATACATGACATATATAATAAACTTACGGATCATGGATTAATTGTCACTATTGTCTGAGTACCTTCACATGTAGGAGTTGTAGGAAATGAGGCTGCAGATGTAGCCGCAAAAGAAGCTTTAACACTGGATATACCTATATCAAATATCCAGTTGCATAATGATATTAAAAAAAATATTTAAAAAGCGTATATATGACAAATGGCACGCTAATTGAAACACAACTCCGAGACACTTACACGATATACAACCAGTTATACCTGCCTTAGAGCTACCACCTATGCCCAGAAGACACAAGGTTATTCTAAGAAGATTAAGACTTGGACACACTCATCTGAAACATGGCTTTCTAATGGCATCTACCGATCTACCTGCATGCGGCCATTGCAACAATCCCTTAACAGTCAGACATTTCCTTAAAGAATGTACGCATCTTTCTGCTAAAAGAAAACAACACCAGTTGGGAGATAATATTAAAGAAATGTTGAGTGAAACTTGTAAACCTGTTTAAATATTTAAAAGGCATTCAACAGCTTAGTAAACTCTAAATTTTAATAATTATGTGTAACGGTTAAATTTGTAATTTATGTGTCTTTTTTGTACTGTGTATTGTTAAATGTAAAACTGTATATATCTTATATTGCATTATACTGTCAACGTGTCAATGACCTCGTAGTTGAGACACGTGAATTGAAATAAAAAAAAATCCTAGGTTAACCTATGAATTTATCTGTATATAATAATTCACTCATTGTGGTATTTTCTGGTATCTCATGAAAGTAAATATACAAATAAAATGAACCAACCCGAGGTTTTTGCCTCGTCTAAAAGTAATTTTCTTGAGGAAACTAAAGATAGTTTATGCAATTAAATTTGCAGCGAGCGGTCAAAAAAAGAAGATATTAAAAGTACATTACTATTGTCCTTGCAAGCCTTCAGTCGATGAAGAAAAAAAATCAATCAGTATAATTTTCTAACGATCATTAGGTTCGGTATAATTGAAAAGTAATTTTAATTTCATTGATATTGCTATATTTGTATCATAGTGATCGTATTGTCCTTGAAGGTATTACTTTCTATGTTTTTAGTTTGTGTAATTTACTTTTTATTAAAAATAATAATATAGGAAATAAACGTTTTTAAAAAATTCATTACACTATTGTAAAATTATTAGATGTACTGTAATATTATGTATAATTTGTTCTCTATTTTTTATTTATTCGAGCCGTAAATCAATTTCTTAGAGAATGGAAACTCATAAAAAACAAATTGGTAAGTATAACACCGATTTGGAGCACATTTACGCTTGGTTATACATTTTCTAAACATAAAAGGTGGATTCAACATATATAATAGCAGGATTGGAGTAGGAATAACTTAATTGAATTTAATTTTTAAAATATCTTTAAAACGTGATAACCATTTTTTGAAACACAAATATACAGCAGTGCCTTAGTAGAATTTCGGTTATTTCGTTACAGCAAAGTTTGCAGTGTCCTTAAGACACTGCAAACAATAGGATAATGTTGGCCAAACAAAGAATGAATTTACCTTACTGTACCCCGAAACTTATTCCTAGAGTAACCAAAAGCCACGTCGGGAGAAAATTCATTACCTAGCGACATAATGGCATACTCTTTAACTGCATAATTTTATTCTGCAAATGGACTAAAAATTTATTATCTTTAATCTACAGTTTACTAGTTAATAGTTACATGTTGTCACTAATTAGTGCAATGAATCCTGAAGCACAGGCAACTAGGCCATCGTCTTTAAGGAGTCTTAAAAAGATGTCTTCTAGATGCTAATTAGGTAGGTACTTCAACAAAATTGTTAACATTTTGATTTAACGAAATTACGGTTATGCAAAAAATACCTTTTAGATAAGATGCAGAGAGAAATACTATATATTATAATGTATGTAATTTAAGTGATAGATAGCCATACAAATACCATTTACATTGCCAAAGTTATGCAACCAAACACTCATTTATCAAAAAATCTAAATTGCAATAAATTAGATTTAATGTTGTAAATGAATAATATTTAAATTGTTGATTATGTGTTAATAAAAATAAACTATAATGAATATAAAGTAAATAAGAATTCGACTAATTACCTAATTGCTACAAACACCACTGGATTTGGACCACTAAATCAAGTGATGAAAAACAAAACGGGGTGTTAATGTTATTTTGCATATTAAATGAAACGGGTCGGAGATGTTGGAGGAAAAGAAAGAGAAAGTAATGGCGTTCGAGACATGTACAGGCAGGCCACAGAGAGGCAATTGCGGGAAACTGGATAAAAAAGGACACAAGATATAGAGGAGTGACAAAAAATTATGTAGGCTTACGTTCAGCAGTGAAAATTTAGACACAATGACTTTTTAAAAAACAAAACAAAAGAGTTAAGGAAGAATAACATGCAAGGAAGTACCTAATTGTGTATAAATACCTAAGAAAAACGAGCTTAGATTTTTGGTTTAGTTTATTTGAATAATAATAGGATTTTGCTACTTAACTGGAGCAGGGAAACAACGTTCTGCAGCAGAGTAATTTTTGATTTAAGGTGGCTTCAAAAAAATTAGTAGTGTTAAAGTTATAGTAACCATAAGTTAAATCGTAATTAATTACAAACACTATTTAACTGGGAATAAGCCACAATTAAAGGTTAAAATACGTTAATTGTGGCTTATTCCCAGTTAAATACTAATTAATTTAAAATTCCACAAGGAAGGAATAAAGAAGATTGTTGTAAAGAATTTTATAAATGTGGATTATTAAGTGATTTATATTATTTTTTATTTCATCATCATCATCATCATTATCATCAACATGTGTGCGTCAACTGCTGGACATAGGTCTCTCTCAGAACTTTCCATCTGGTTCTGTCTTGTGCGGCTTGTATAAACATCGGGCGCTCCATAGCCATCTGAGTCACGCGAATAGTATTAACTACCTTTTGTGTGAGTGTTTATATTTCCGCTCCATAAGTAAGTACAGGTAACACACATTGGTCAAAGATTTTCCTTTTGAGGCATGTGGGTAGATCCGATTTAAGTACATAGTTTAATTTACCAAACGTTGATAATATAGTATCTACATTCATGTTTTAACAAGTTGTGTAATTATTATTCTAAAACTTACATACATTAGCTCCCATCAGAATATTAGATATACAGTCACATCCATAGATATTTTGGTACACGAACTCTAAACTCTATTTACCTATTTATCTATTAGGTAAATGCATGTCTTTTTTCTATGGAAAAGACTTGCATGGAAAACAGTGGAAAGTACAATGGTTCTTCGATTGAAAAAGCTTTTCTCATTTAGAGATATAAATTGAAGATTTATACGGACATCTACTTTGAATCGGTTGGTAGGTATATAGGTGATTAAAGAACAAGAATGTTGAAGACCTATACCATTTATACAACACAACCAACAGCGGCTTATTATTTTGTAGTATCAGTATAAATTCAGCAAAAAAAGTTTTTTGCTGTACTACTAATAATTGTTTGTGAAAAATTGAATATAGCTGGAGATAGGACATAAGCAGATATAGCTAGAGATATGTCATAGTTAGAGCCGAAGAAATTAATTTCTTCTTTATTAAATCACTTAAAGTGATAGATTTCGAAGTGCAATATCTGGAGTAGAAAAAATTCATTTGCCTACCATATATTTGTTAAATTGTCAAGAGAGAGATAAAAGATTTTTGTAAAATTCTGTTTTTATTGTTGAATTTTCATTTAAGAATAAATTATTTTCTCAAATAAAATGAGATATGTCATTACAATTTTTGATTGTATACAGGTCGTCATAAAATAGAGATTATGGAGCCAATGCATAGAAAAAAAATCCATAATTTAGATAGTAAAGTGCGCAAAACCTTCTAGTAAGATCGATGCTATTATTTATCAGATTAGGGGGAAATTCATAAACGATATTGTTTAAAAATAAAATATTAATATGAAAAATTATATAAATAATATACGTACCCCAATTCACGTATGAGCTTCAGTTCTGGGTTCGTTATGTCCCTGTTGGAAAATAATTCTGGGCAGGCGGTCCTCATCGTGAAGTACATATCTAATTTACTTTTGCATTTTTCTAACGAAAACTTGCAACCGCGCAAAAAAGTCAATAAACGGTTCTCATCTAAAAAACAAGAAAATAAATTATTACTAACAAAGCTTTAACGAAATTTAATATTACAGTAAAATAGTAGTTAAAATATTTCTTCTGTCTTGTATCCCCGGAGAGAGTGTAGAGATAGTCTATTCCATCATTCTCTATCTGTTGGTATTACTTCTAATTTGTACCTTGGTCTTTTACAAATTTCTTTGAGTTGGTTAATTCATCTGGTTGCGAATTTTTTTGATCTTCTACCGTTTCTTGAATTATGAATTTCTCCATATTTGCTTTTCTGATCTCATAACTTTAGTTCTTGTCTATAGTTCTCTTAAAATCAAATTATTTATTTTATAGTATGATATTTTATAAAATTCGTAACATTTTTCTCCAGTAGAGCATTTTAGTGGCGTCTGTCTTTCTCTTTTCTGATTCTCTCAGTGGCAAAGTTTAGCATTCGTATGTTAGTATTGGGAATTTTAAGCAATTAAAAATTGTTTATTATTCTAAGCAAATAATTAAAAAAGTTAAAGCAGTAAATAAAGAATATAGTACAGAACAAAACGTAAGCGTGAATTGAAGATGAGTGACTGACTGTATAACATATTTCTCATCTTGTTAACTGCTGATCTCATCTATTATATTTGGATGTAGATCTAACCGTGCTGATGTAGTTTCTAAGAATGAGGGGTTTTAAATTAAGTAGGGCATCTTTAGTACTTTTTGAGAAACACATTTGGAGGGAAGTAGTTAATCTAAACACGGCGCGTCCCAATGAGTAATTGGAAAACTACACATATTTGGGACAGGTGTGAATAAGGCTAAGGGTATCCCCAGGACACCACAATAGCTGAAAATCCAACAAAAAACGGCCCTCACTCCTGGGAACCTTTGTGCTAAGAATGCCCCGGTTAGCCAATATTGTCCCAAAAGTTAATAGAATCGATACGTGGAACATTAGAAGCATGTAGGTACTAAACAGGCAAAGCAGCCAATAGTATTTAAGAAATAACTCGACTGAATATAGATATTTTAGGATGCAGTTAAATTCGATGGCCAAATTCTGGAATAAAAATTACAGATGAACACCTTTTCTATTATTTTGGAGACGACACAACAAGAAACAGAAATAGAAAATTTCTATTAGACTCCAGAAGATTCTCTAAAACTGATCAAAAAACATCAACTTACCATTATCATGGGCGATTTTTATGTCAAAATAGTACAAGGTACAGTCGAGAATGTCGTGGGGTCATATGGTCTTAGCATAAAAAAATGAAAGAGGAGAAAGACTGATCCAATTTTGCCAAGAGACAGATATGGTTGTAAAGAATACAATTATTTAAGTTCACCCAAGAAGGCAGGCATTATACATGGAAAGCACCCGGTGATACTGAAGGGAAAAACCATAAGAAACCTAAATCAACCTAAACAAAAGGTTTAGAAATTCTATCACCATAACAAAAACATATCCAGATGTCTTCTCAGATTATAGACGATTGGTTGCAAATATCAATATACGACTTAAAACCATTTATAAGAAAATAGGGCACAAGATAGATAAAATAAGACTTCTAGAAGAAAAGTCATAAAAAAAGAAAAAACGGAGATTAATAAGAATTGTGCGCAAATACTTGAAAACACTTTTCTAGAGGCATAAAAGAACAGCGGAACGAAATGAAAACATGTATTGCCACAATTCCACATGAATATCTAAAATCAATAGATAAAAGAAGCCAGAATGGATGACAGATAAAATATTGCAGATGATGGAAGAACGAAGAAAATTATAAGGTAGAAATGATAACGAATAAAAAAAAGTTGCCTCAGCATATACTACAGGAGATGAAAGGAGCAAAGGAAGCACGGCTGACGGAGAAATGTATGGAAATTGAAACACTACAACGCAAAGTGAAGGTAGAATTTTGACTACCATTGAACATAAATTAAGAAGATGGAAAGAATATATGCAAAAATTATTCGAAGATTCATCACGAAGTCCGACTGAAACAAACAATCCCTAACTACACCCATTAAGCGGAAAAAAGATAGGAAATCACCAGGACCTGATGAGGTGCATGGTAAAATTTTAAAGCTCTTAGAGGCATACCCAATCATAGCTCTTATGAAGTTATTCAACAACACCTAAGAGACTGGATATTCACCAAAAGACTGGCTACTATCAATATTCAGTCCATTTTCTAAAAAGACCAACGCTAGAAAATGTGAAGAACATAGATTAATTAGTTTGGTAAGCCATGTACTTAAAGTACTCTTTACTATCATTCACTCGCGCATATACACCAAATTAGAACAACACCTTAGTGAAGTTAAATTTGAATTCGGAGCAGGACTCGGACCGACGGAAGCACTTTTTAGTTCTAATATAGAGAGCCAGGAAGGTCCACTGCGATGTGTATGCATGTTTCACTGATTTCATGAAAGCATTTCATCAGGACTCGGTTGTAAGGATATAAGACTGATCTCAAACTTCAAACAACAAAAAGCATCAGTGCAAGTAAGCTGAACTGTCCGAGATCTTGAAAAAGTTGAAAACACTTGAAACAGTTGAAAAAGGAGTTAGACAGGGTTGCATATTGTCACCGGCATTCTTTAACATATACGCTGAAAACATCTTTAGAAAGGCCTTAGACGAAGCAGAAGATGGGATTGCTGTAAATGGCCAACTTATAAATAATAATAGATATGCAGACGATAGAGTGTTGCTGTAAGATAGGAAACAGGGGCTCCAATGCTCCCATGATGACTGATAACGTTGTAGGAACATATAACAAATACGTCCTATAACTAAATAGCAAGGAGACAAAAATAATAATAATTAGTAAGAACACCAACATAAACGCCCAAATTACAATAGGCGATATACCATTAAAAAGAGTGGAAAAAATACATTTCGGTGGCAATATTAAGAATACTTGAGAAATAAAAATTCATATTAAAAAAGCCAGAAGCTTTTTTAACAGCCTTAGGAAGATTATCTCTACAGAAGATGACATAATTAGAGGCATTTGAAATATAGTGCTACCGACGTATGTTGAGGGTCTCATATATACCGGGTGGTGTGAATCGCCTAACGGGCCATAGGAAATTCAATGGGAGTTGTTAAATTCCTGCTTCCCTAATTATTTTACATCAAAAATCATAAAAAACTATTTGTGGAGGACTGAAATATGTAATAAAAACAAATGTTAAAATTGCTTACGAATTAAATGTATTCCAAAATTTTGTAAAAATATGATACATCTTTCAGGCCACCCCTTACAGTCAGGTCACACGACGTACAACAATATGTATGACATGTTGTGTTTAGTCATATTGATGATTCTGATATTTGACAATATATTTAAATTGTCAATATTTTTATTTTGTGATTAGATTATACACAAATACTAAAATACGCAATTTTTTACAAATACTACTACTACTAGTTCAGTGCTATTTACATGGCAATAAAATTGATGAAATGTATTCAGTTCATATGAACGGAATTTATTCCTTTTCAAAATTTTTAACGCCGTAGAATTATAAATATTAAACTGGTCTGCAATGGTCCGAGAACTTATTCTAGGATTTTCTACAACTGCTGCATTTCTACAAACATTTATTTCATTTTTCATCCCTTTAGTTACAAAATTTTGTAAAATCCTTTGGAGTTTGAATTGGTCTATTGGAATATCTCACGCTAAATAAAAAACTGACATTTCGCGCAATATGGTCTGAATAAAACATTTTTATTATTGCTTGTTTCTCCTCAACTGAATACATTTTTTAATTAACTATATATTTTTTTAAACAATAAATCACAAAATTTAAATTTTGGAAATTCAAATATTGTCAAATATTATAAACATAACTATGACCAAACGCAACATGTCATGCAAATTTTTGTATCTCGTGTGGCCTGAATTTAAGGGGTGGCCTGAAAAATGTATTATATTTTTACAAAATCTTGGAATACATTTAATTCGTAGGACAATTTTAATATTTGTTTTTAATACATATTTCAGTCCTCTACAAATAGTTTCTTATTACTTTTGATGTAAAATAATTAGGGAAGCAGGATTTCAACAATTCAGAATTTCCCATTGAATTTCCTATGGCCCGTTTGACGATTCAGCACCCTGTATACCGTACAAATAAAATACTTATCTCCAGAGGCTAAGAAAAGTCATTACTAAAGAACAGAAAATTGACTCACTTCGAGCACATCGTATATAATAATAAATACCGACTTCTACAGTTGATTCTACAAGGCAATATTGAGAGTAAGAGACTGGACGTAGACATATATCCTGGCTGGCCAATCTTAGAAAGTGAATTGGTCTAACGTCAACTGATCTACTTCAAGCTGCTGTAAATAGAGTTAGATGGGTCAATGTCTAATATCTGACTTAAGGTGCACACAGAACCGCACACAGAAAGAGCAAAACTGTTTTAGTCAAAAACGTTTTTGACTAAACGAGTCTGATGCTGATGTTTCCATATAAATGAAATGAGCTGACGCACACTGATTAGTCGTGTGTCTAAAGCATGTTTAGGCTCATTTAGTTTCAGTCAGTCTGTTTGATGTTGATTACCTGATCGTCGTTTTGTCTCGAAACATTTCAATGTACGCAGGCGCAACGTGTTTTTGGAATCCCTTTCTTGAAACCGCTAGAATAGTCAACAAGAAGCACATGTGAAAATAGCGATATTTTGTTTTTTCGTCTTGTAGGAGGTACCACTGCCTGAAAACTAGTGCAATTTCGTCGTTATCTGTCGACATCTTTAATAAAACTGATTGCAAACATTTTGTTTCTCTTGAAAACAAAATGTTTCTTGTGGAAACAAAAACGTTTTCGTTTCAAACAAAAGCGTTTTTGACTAAAACAGTTTTGCTCTTTCTGTGTGCGGCCACTCTTAGTCGTACCAGAGCAGGTTAAAGTCAGTCATCTCTGTTAAAATTCTTATTCTATTTAAAAATGGTCTTCAAACGTAATTGTCACAGCAATACTTGTTAGTTTATAATGTCAATGGTAAGAGTAAGTGATAATTGGTGCGTCTTCTTCTTGTAGTGCCTATCCGTTTCGGATGTTGACGACTATCATGGCAATCTGTATATTGAAAACTGCGACTCTGAAAAGATTTGTGGTTGTTGTGTTGAACCACGTACGTAGATTTTTACGTACGTACGTACGTAGAAACCCAAATATCCGAAAAATTAGTTCAGACACAGGATATTATATTAATTTTTAGCAATAAATATGTCTCTAAATATAGAATATACACTTACCCCAAGTATCTGGCAAGTGCGGTTGCTTCTTTAACCATTCTTTGATATGCTCTAAATCTGATTCTCGTGTGTTAACGTCCTCGTTGAGTTCGTGTCGGATATGGATTTGAAGTTCAGGACTCGGTTGAACAAGAGTCATTTTGATTTACTAAAACAAAAAACAATGGTCACTAAAAACAAAATATTTATATATGTATAATACATATAATGTACGATACGTATTGTACGCAGAAGTAAATTTATGTTTTACCTGTAATGACTTTTAACATTACTTGTCTATGAATAGACACTTAAATAAATGAAAGTTTAATAATTTAAGAGTTAAATAATAGCGTAAACAATAAACTGTTTAACATCGAAGGTCAATTAGTAGTATAATAAAAATATATTTTAATGATAACTTACTTTCTAACTATTTCAAAATTTAAAAGATTTAGGGATAAGCATTGTGCTACTTTATTGCTTTGTTACACGCAATATTAGTAAAACAAAAAGGAAAACTTAAGTGTTATAAGTGAGAAAAGAAGCATATATATTTGCAAATATACAAGCGATTATAATTATATCAAAAGTTATCTTCTACAATTATACAAGGCCTTGTAATGCAATACTAATCCTTGGTTAAAAAGATCTACAATTTAAGGTTTGTATATTTTAGATCCTTAACGACCCGTTTGTTTTACGGCTGATATACTCTTACCAGGATACTTTACAAATAATTCAGATTTATGCGCCAACATCTACACAAACAGTAAATGACGTATCGAAACACTACCTACACGATTATAATGGGCGATTTTATTGCGAAAATGGGCAAAAAACTAGAAGAAACCGATAACTGTATTGTAGAATTTGGACAACAGAAAGAGGAGATCTATTGGTTAACTATCTAGAAAACAACAAATTATTTGCCATGAACTCTTTCTTCAAGAAAAAGCCACATAGGAAATGGACGTGGATGTCGCCACATGGACATACTAAAAATGAAATTGACTGCATACTAACAAACAAAAAAAACATTTTCGTTACAAAAGACGTTACAGTAATAAACTCAATCTCTACTGGTAGTGATCAAAAAATAATACGAGCTAAAATAAGTATTAAACACCAAAAATATCAAAGACAATATGTGCACTCTAAGAAAAAAGTCCACCCAGAAAAATAAAAGAGAATAAAGAACAATACCAAAACAAATTAAGAACAGTTGAAGAAATAAAGCTACAGACCTAAATCTAGATCAACTAAACAAAGCCAACACTGAAGAAGTTCTAAAGACTAGTTTCGAAATAGCACCAGCAAAATCAGACAAAAAATCAAAACTAAGTGCCATATCTTTAGATATGCTACAACAACGGAGAAGCCTACTACAAGAAAATAAAAGAAATCCAACTGAATACAAAACCCTTAATACATAAATAAGAAGACATATAAAATAAGATCTCAAACGACATCCAGAAGACGAATCGAGACACATATTACTGGTAGGTATAACTAACGATATAAATGGTATATTTGCTCATATGAAACTTTGGTTTTTTAACGAACAATGTATTTATTTATTGTTGTCTTGACACGAATATTCAATTTTTTTTCTGGTAGTGACTCATGTTAAAATTATTATCTAATATTCTAACCTACTTACTAATTGTTACTCCCAAAGAATGTTTAATATTCAAGTAAAAGTAAAAGTAAAAGTATAACAATGTTGGCGGCATCGAATCAAAAGCAATTAGTTTAGCTGATTATTATATTATATTGTTTTTTTAATAGAAAATTGTAGAAACCACTGAAACAAAGCATATTTAATTTATTCAAGGGTAGCAAATAAAAGCCATAAAGGTGACAAAAGGAGCCACATTTTTAAGATAATGCTAAGAATCGTATATCAAGATTACAAATCTTCGGTAGTCATTGATGCGTTTACTATCGCCTTCCATGTTTGTCAGTTGTGTGCCACTATTTCCCATTACCTTACTCTTATTTTCTCCAGATCATCTCTGACTAAATTTTTCTACCTTTTTCTTGGCCCTCCTATAGACCTTTCTCTATTATATGGTCTTTCCCAAAACACATTTTTTATGAGGCGATTATCGTTACTGTGTCCTGTTACATGTCTTGTCCATCTTATCAATCATGCACCACTCTCCAATAAGAAATGCAGATGGTAACTAAGCCAGAAACAGTAAATTAAACACTAAACGTTTTACAGAACATTTAAAAAACACATTCCTTTGAAACGATAGAGATGACCTTAAAGACCTGACTGATATTTATCAAGACGAAATAAGCTAAGAAACCCAAAAGAAGGGTTTAGGAATATATAAAATTAGGAAATTAGGGATTATTTAATACAAAAACAGACGTTAACAATACTAACCGTGCTTTTTCCAAACATATTTTGTCAACAAACCACTTACCTTCTAGACGGTAAAATCTTACACACGTTGAACGTGAAATTATTTTTAATGAACAGCTTCTGTCAAAAGAGTCTTACATTTAAGTGAACATAAACTTTTAATTTCTACTAAGGCCTACGTAAATGACATTGACATAGTAACACGGACAAAAAGAGACATAATACAGGCTTTTGAAAGATTAGAAAAAGCCGCGAAGACAATGGGACTGCAGGTCAACGTATCCAAAACAAAATACATAAAGGTCACGAACAGCACACAAATAGCGGAACCACAAGATCTGGTGACAGAAGCACACATATTCGAAGGGGGGATCTCGGAGTTTAAATATCTTGAAATACAACTAAATAACAGCAGCCTAGTAAGCGTAGAAATTAAGAGAAGAATATACCTGGCGAACAGAGCTTATTTTGGACTAAAGCAGTTCTTAACATCACAAATAATTAGCAGAAATACCAAGATACTATTATATGAAACTCTTATTAAACCTGTCCTGACATACGCGTTAGAGACATGGACTATGGTAAAAAGCGACGAATAACAGTTAGGCCACTTTGAAAGACGAATACTTAGACACATATACGGAGGAGTAAAAGAAAGCGGGATATGGCGCAGGGCTACAATTTTGAGTTGTATCAATGCTATGAAAAATGCAACATCGTCCGGTGTATTAAAATTTATAGACTGGAGACCCCCAAAGACAGATATTCTATCAAGAGCCAGTAGGAACCAGGAATAGAAGCAGGCCAAGATCTAGAATCAAAACTCAAATCGAAGATGACTTGAGGAATCTAGGCGTCAGAAATTGGAAAGCCATGGCGAAAAATAAATAGGGGGGAATTAAGACTAATTCTTGAACAGGACAAGACCCACCCAGGGTTGTAGAGCCAAAGATGATGATGATGTTATGTGGTCAAAATGGACATAGACAAATCACCAATCGGTAGAAGAAATAATGAAAAGGATGGAATACATCTTCCATAGACGTATCAATCCGCAATTAACAAGCAGAATTTCTTATGATGTGGAAGAAAATAAACAAGACAATTTTAAAATTTCTTGTTCTTAATTTCACTGCCAAGTTATTCTTATGTTTTAAAAAAGAAACACAGATATTTGCATTTGTAAACATCACGTTTCATTGACAGTAATGGATTCTTCTTCAAGTTCCACTCCTATCGGAGATTGGAAATCATTCTGGCAATTATAATTTTATTGGTTACTCGCCTGAATAGTTCAATTGAACTGCATCCAAACCACTCACGGAGATTGCGTAGCCACGAGATTTTAAGTCTTCCTACGCTTCTTCTACCTTTGATTTTACCCTGCATTATATTCCTTAGTAGTTCGTACTTTTCACCTCTCATGATGTGCCCCAAGTATTCCAATTTCCTGATCTTTATGGAATTTAAAACTTCGCATTGTTTTCCTAGTTGTTCGAGAACTTGTTCGTTTGTTTTGCGATCCATCCATGATATTTTCAAAATGCGTCGGTAACACCACATTTCGAATGCTTCTAGGTTTTTAATGTTGGATTTTTTAAGTGTCCATGCTTCAACTTCATACAAAAGGGTAGAGAAAATATAACATCGAAGCATTCTTATCCGGAGCGATATATTGATATCGCGATTACAAAAAAGTTTTCTCATTCTATTAAAAGTTGACCGTGCAATTTCAATGCGGCATCTTATTTCTTTTGTCTGATCAGTATCTTCTGTGATTCATGCTCCAAGGTATTTGTACGAAGATATTTGTTCAATTTCTGTATTATCTAGTACTAGCTTAACTTTGATGTTTTGTGCTTTTGTAAATACCATGAACTTGGTTTTCTTCAAATTGATTTTTAGTCCATAATCGTTGCAATATATATTTAGTTGTTCAGCAAGGTGTTGCAGTTCTTCTAGTGTTCCTGCCAAAAGGACAATGTCGTCAGTATATCTTATGTTATTAACTGGCTCACCGTTTATTATAAGGCCCTCACTGATCTCGGCAAGCGCTAATTCTGAGATAGCTTCACTGTATAAATTGAATAACAAGGGTGATAAAATACACCCTTGGCGGACCCCACGGCGAATCTGGATATCCTTGGTCAGTTCGTTTTCAACTTTCACTTTTGCTGTTTGATTCCAATAGAGGTTACAGATGATTCTAATGTCTCTACTGTCTATGTTTTTATTTAATAAAATTTCTTTAAGTCGATTATGCTGCACTCTGTCAAATGCCTTCTCAAAATCAATGAAACAGGCATATACTTCCTGATTAATATCTAAGCATCTCTGCGAAAGAACACTTACTGCAAACAGTGCATCTCGTGTTCCCAGACCTTTCCTAAATCCCATTTTTGTATTACTTATGCCTTCATCTAATTTCTTATGTATGCTATTGTGAATTACTTTCAAAAACAATTTCAAGACATGACTCATTAAGGCTATGGTGCGATGTTCATTGCACTCCTTTGTATTGGCTTTTTTGGGAAGCAGTATGAATGTTGATCGGAGCCATTCTTTAGGTATTATACCTGTTCTATATATGGTATTGAATAGATCCAAAAGAAGATCAATAGATTCAGTATTCACAATTTTAAGTAATTCGATAGGAACTTCATCAGGCCCGGGAGATTTACCATCTTTAGCTTGTTTCATTGCATATTCAATTTCTTCTCGTATAATGTCAGGCCCAGTATCATCCTTAAATTCTTTTGGGGCTTCTGTTCTCTCTTTGTCTTCAAATAGTT